CGACCGATCTTTTCTTGTGAAAACGTCTTGATTTGGGCTTTGATGCTTCGGTGGAAAGCTTTTGGAATACCGAGATCCTCTGTGGAGCGATTTTGGGATAGCTATATTCTGATAGTACTGCCATGATAAGCCTCTCACATGGACAGTGAGAGGTGATTTCTCGAATACTTATCTTCCGAGATTTGTTTACACCCCTAACCTGATAGTACAACTCGTTGGCATGATGACCAGAGCAACCTATCGCTGTTTAGTGTGACTTCCCAGGTATAATGTTATCTTTCAATGGATGTGTCTTCTTCTGGGGATGTGAAGCCTTGTTGGTATTCTCAAGAGTCACACGTTTGGAACTATACTCTTATGAGTGTGGAGTCTTAACGGGCTCCTGAACTTCAACACGGGCCCCCAAGCGGGCAGTCACAGGAATTTTTCCAAGAAGGGATGACTTTGGTTTGATAAGAGGACGCATACGACCCCTAGTCTGAAGAGCCACATGTGTTTTACTCATCGGACTAAAATGTTCTTTAGCAGGAGGATTGTCTCGATCTTCGTGCAAAGGACCAAGGCGATCTGCCATTGTAAATCTTGAATTTTGACAGGTTAACACTGCCGTGAGGCTTCACCAGAGGTACGGCAAAAGAAGAACCAGGAGCGGGTGTCGACGGGGACAATGAAGCGACCGCGGGGTTGTCTCTCTAGCCGAGATAGGTGGATGTGTCTCGGCCAGGGGCAATACACTTTAGTGTGTCTCGGCCCGTGAGACACTTTGATGTGTCTCGGCCCTTAGCGATAGTTTCAGCTATCTTCTTATTTGATTTTCGCGCCATCTTGGACTTTGGCACCCAGACTTTACGTGATTTCCACGAGACACTTTGATGTGTCTTGGCCCTCAAAGACATTTTCAGTTGTCTTCTTATTTGATTTTCGCGCCGTCTTGGACTTTGGAACTCAGACTTTGCGTAATTTTGGTGTTTCTTTGGCCACCTCTTCCTTCTGTAATTCTTGTGCCTTTCGCACAAGAGCACGTGCGTGCGCGTCAAGTGTGCAACGCTTCTGGATGCGTTCCTCGAGAGTTGAACGAGTCCTTTTGACACGGACTCATTCGTTAGGGTTTGAAGGAAACATGAGTTTCTTGCCGTTAAGGAAACTGAATCACTCGATGCTTCCTTGACTCTTGATCCGCGTAATAGCTAACCTCATCAACCTGCTCCAAGGCATTGGTGAGCTGACGATCAAGACGTTGGCGCTGTCTCTGACGAGCCCTCTTCGTCAAAGTTAGCACGGTTTCATCGAATGCTCCTTGGATGAGGAGGAGTTGTTGTGAACAGAAACTCCGACTTGGTTGGATGCCGGAGGGGCATTGCGAGGGGAAGCCTCAGCGACGATTGGGTGACACTCATCACCCTGGGCCTTCATCAGATCTGAAGACCAGCGAACCTTCTTTGAAAATGAGATCTTCCTGAACTTGTGGGACGAGGGAGATCCGAAGAAGGCGGATGAAAGGTACTCCTCGAACTTCTGTTGGTCGAACTCGTACTCGATTGCTGCATCAACCGGGATCTTGATCGGTTGCAACACTACAGGCAGCAAGACTGTTGGCTCCCATTATTGTCGCTAGCGTGTTTTCGTCGGAAATCAGTTTCATTGTAGAATCCATTTACAATTGTTTATCGACTTACAATAGATTCGATGGAGTGAGCCTTTTTATGAGACTTCTCACTACAAAAGAAACAAAATGAAGACTTCCTAGAAACACACGCATAAATAACTGTTTATCGGTTGCTACTTGCGTGGGATATTTGCCTATGCCAGGGACGCGTTAGCCCGTGGACGATCGATTCACAGATCCTGGTTGATCGTGAATAAGGCTCGAGACACCCCTTGGTGTCTCAAATTGCGAGACACACTATGGTATCTTGGAATTCGAGACACCTCTGACTATCTTGGATTTCGGGCCTTGTCGTTTTCGTCGTTTTCATCATTTTGTATTTGTATCGGACAATGCTCTCTGACTTAGATAATGACGTTTTTCATCTTCTCTTCACCTCGAGCTGCATTCGGAAACTTATAGACAATTTTTGATGCCTACAGGGATGAATTGAAGATTTACTTCACATTCAAGCATGGGATAATTTAGTAATTGATCTCTATCTAGGGTTAAGAATACTCGTAGTTGAAGAGTTGCAGTTAGACTACTAGATTATGAGAAACTAGGGTTTTGGTATTGTAAGCCTGCTTAATCGAGTTTGTGATTCAAGAGAACGTTCACATAGTGAGGAAGCCCATTTCTACGAAGGAAGAGTGGATGTAGGATTGTTTTTTCCGAACCATTATAAAATTTTTGTGACCGTGAGAAATTTCCATTCTTTGCATTGTTTACTATTTTATTTATTTATTTTTATTCCGCTGCATATTCTGTGATATCAAGAAAAATAATAGGCAACTCTGTTCAACACCACCCCCCCCAAAAAAAAAAAAAACAAGAAAGAAAAAAACTTGCATTTCGGTTCCAAAAAATTTACAGAGGAGATCTATCCGCACTTATAGACAAATAGTACATGGGTCCTATCCGCACAAATAGAGTTATTGGGAGTCTGTCCACAATTGGACAATAATACAAGGAGTCTATTCCCAATTAAGCCTAATCTTTTTTAGGTGCACATATCAGAGACAACTAGTCGCAATCAAGCCATCGGAGCCTGACCCTTGTTATCAACCAGACCAAAAACAAGTGGCTAAACTTGACCGAACCACATTCGACTTGATCCCACACAACATGAATTGATAGGAGATACCCAATGCTAGCCAAGACAGCGAAACTCATCCATCACGCAGGGCTTATTATTAAGATGTTAGGTTCGCTAGGCTGTATGCGTATGTTGGATATAACATACAGATACAGGGCTTATTATTAAGATGTTACATTGCTCACTTCTATCATAGAGCGTATCGTATGTATTACACAAGTTAGCTGTTTAACAAATTGGGGGTCCCCAATTGATATATATATGACGACACACCGAAATTTCAATTGAATACGTTTCGGTGATGAAACCATCTCAGAAAATCAATGTGAAATTTCATAATTTTCTAATATTACAAGACAAAATTCAGTAGACACTTAAAAGGATTTGTAATTTGTAAACAAGAGGAAACGGAACAATGATCAGGAGCTCCGGCCTGGACATTTGCGCTAGGGAATATATAAAGTACTAAGGAGAGGCTATTGGTTGGTGTAATAGTGGGGTAAGTAGGATATAATTTTTAGGACTTTGTTCTAAGGTGTTATTCATTGGGATAATGAGTTTGGGATAATTACCTCTCCTACTCATATACAAACTTTTTGCCCCAACCTTCAAAAATTACTTCATTCTTAACTTTGGGACAACCATGAGGAATGTGAGATAATTTTGAAGCATTAATTTATTAAATATCTAATGTATGTCAATTGTATTAGAATATATAGTATGTCTTAATTACATTATATTATAAAATTCTACTATAACATAAGATAATTAAATATTATATAATATTATCTAATATAACATTAGTAAATATCATTATTACACATTAGTTAATAATATTTCATATAGTATAATATTAGTAGTATATTATTATTTATTTATATTATTTAATATATATTTTATTAGTTAGAATAAACATATTATTGTAGTATTTTTATGATATAAAATATTTGTATTATAATTTAGTGTTTATATACTTAATATAATAATATATTAATTATATTATAATATAATTTAATATGATAATATATTCTATATATAGAATATTTATTGCTACAGTAAAAATAGTGATAACCTACTATATATTGAAGTATGATATTATATATAATTAATATAATAATTTAGTATTTTCTATTGTACTTTATCATATTAATTAATAGTCATAAATGCATTATAAATTTTGTGATGGTTATAATATTAGATAACATTTTATTGCTACAGTAAAAATAGTGATAACCTACTATATATTGAAGTATGATATTATATATAATTAATATAATATATTATACTAATTAATACTATTAAAACGTATTAATAGTACATTATAGTTATTATAAATATTATATTTTAATAAGGAGCCTTGTCATCAATTATCTTATTTAAAGTATAGTAATTATCATAAAATATGTTATTATATTTTACTAGTAATATAATATTTAATAATATTATATTGACTAAAACAAAATAGTATAATATTTATATATATTTAATCAAATATTATATTATTAAAATTTTGTATTAAATATCTTGTTCGTATATTATATCAATTATTATATAATATTATATAATAATATTATATAATAACATTAAACATAGTTATAATTAATTAGTAATTACAATTTAACATATTATATTTTAGAATAAAGTAAAATAATATATTATATTATAATAACATACTAAATAATATACTAAACTAATTAAATAAATTAATTTGGAGGTAATTGATAAATAAAGATTATATTTTAATAAGGTGTTACATCATCAATTATAACATATGAATTGCTAAATCAAACCTTCAAATTGTCACATTATCTCGACTTGTCCCGCTTTACCCCGGTCGAAATATTCGAATGGGATCAAATTGGTCCATTAGAACAATTATCCCAATTGACCCGAACGTGTGCCAACCAATAACCCCCTGAATGGTCTCGCGGGAAATGGCTCAAAGATCGGGGTTATTTCTGAGAATTAACCAAAATATTGCGGGTGGGTGGGGGATAGAGGTTACTAGGTTCCCATGGAAGTGAACGGAATCTCTCTTTCTTTCTCGTGTGATAAAAGGGCAGTGCACGTTGATGGGATCAGCTAGCTGTAGGGGGGGCAACGGTGGCTGTTCCAATCTAAAGCCAGTCACCCAAATGCACTTGCAACGATGGGGCACGAACCACGCAACGTATGCTGTCATTTATGTGCAGGGGAACGGAGAGAGACGTGGTAGATCGACCTTTCCTTTGATTATGCGATATCGAATCCTTATATTAAGGGGAGCTGGCCATGACTCTTTCTCCTCCATTGGATTGTAATCCCATGCACTTCTCTCTCACCAGGCGTTAGGCGATTGTGTTTTAGGCAGGGAAAAGATTTAGTTTCGGTTGTTTTTCCTTGATGTCAATGATTGCTTATTAGCTAACTTCGCCTCTTTCGTTCGTTCGTCCGTCTACCTTGCCTCAAACATCCATCCATCAATTTAATACCGACAACATTGAGCATTGATTCAACACAGACACCCGCAAACGAAGATTGATACCGGAGATGGAGGAGTCATTCTCTGTCTCTGCAACGCCACCAGCGCCGGATCAAGGGGGCCGGCACCGTTCGATCTTCGCCAAATCCAAGCATCCTGTTATCCTTAAGGTAAGCGCATACAAGCTAGGTTCGTCATCCTTCGTTTATTCCCTTTTAGGATCTCCTGATCACTGTGGCCTACACATTCTTCGCATTGAACGCATACGTACGTATTTGTTGTTTCGTAAGGAAAGAAAGTTCTTGGATTAATTGCTTTGTCATCTTATGTATCTGCTACATCTCTTAAAATGGGAAGGAACAAAAAAAAAGTTGAAATCAAAATGGTCTGTTTCTTTCCTCTTTTGCGCATTAATCATCTCTTTAATTAGCGCGTTTAACTGATCCCCGCAGCACAAATCAGAATAAGATTAGGCTTGAGTCACACCTGTTTCCTACAGCATGCATATCTTATAAGTAACTATGTATCGAAAGAATCGCTAGCTGATGAAGTACTTTGATGCTTTGTTCGTATGCGTGCGTATTAACGCGCGTATAATGATGCTGCAGTTCGAAGATGTGGTGTACAAGATCAATACCGAGACTAGCAATTACAAATGCGTGACGGAAATCAGGAAGAAGCTGAAGTCGAAAAAGGGTGGTAGCAGCAGCAATAGTGACAGCGAGCGTGAAATTCTAAAAGGCCTATCTGGAGCGGTAGTTCCAGGTGAAATGCTAGCAATGATGGGTCCATCGGGCAGCGGGAAGACCACCCTCCTTACCGCCCTCGGCGGGCGCATGTCTGGTGGGGGCCACGTTTCCGGCAGCATAACCTACAATGGGCGTCCCCTATCCAACGGCATGCGACGCAACATGGGCTTCGTCACGCAGGATGACGTTTTGTACCCTCATCTCACTGTCACTGAGACCTTGGTCTACACCGCTCTCCTCCGACTCCCTAAATCACTCTCGAAGCAAGAAAAGGTTTCACAAGCCGAGGCAGTCATGGGCGAGCTAGGACTCAACACTTGTCGCAACAGTATCATTGGTGGTCCTATGTTGAGAGGAGTGTCAGGAGGAGAGAGGAAGAGAGTTAGTATTGGTCAAGAGATGTTGATCAACCCCAGTCTTTTATTTCTCGATGAGCCTACCTCCGGGTTGGACTCGACGACGGCGCAGAGGATTGTGTCGACACTGTGGGAGTTGAGTAAGGGAGGGAGAACGGTTGTGATGACTATTCATCAGCCCTCTAGTAGGCTCTTCTACATGTTTCATAAGTTATTGCTGCTGTCTGATGGCAATCCTGTGTATTTTGGCAAGGGGTCTGAGGCTTTGGACTACTTTGCCAGAATCGGATATGTGCCCGCTGTCCCTATGAATCCTGCTGATTTCCTTCTAGACCTTGCCAATGGTATAACTCGAACATCTGACTTCTTTTATCAGAAGTTACACGCACGTAGACCCCCTTGGTATCGTTGTTTTGAACTTCCTTCCCCTGTAATTTCCTTGTTGCAGATAGACTCCCTGGTTAAAGTTTTAGAATCCTTCACACTCAGATAGCCTCACTATTTCTTCCTGGGGCAAAATCTGTCAAAAGTTTTACCCAGGGTAAAAGAGTAAAAAAAAAAATCTAACCCTGGGCTCTATCTATAACTATGAAACTAGAGGGGTAACAAGTTCAATCCAACGATACTGTAGGGGACTATGCAATGTTTATCCCTTAAATCTTCGATGGTTTGTTGCGGAGTATTCGATCGTTCATTCATTATTAAACAAGAATAAACCCTTGTGTATATTACATGTTCAGATTTCTTCTCTTCTTCTATTGTTGTAAATTTTGCGCTATAGTCCATGCAATCGGAAACGAAATTGGGTAAAAACTTATTAAAATAAAAAGATAAATAATAGGAATAGTAAATATGCGTAAACACGAACCAAACAGCATATCTTTTAAGCATTCCGCTAGCTGGTTCTTTTTATAGTTTCCTCTAGCGTTCTGATAGCTCTCGGTAGAGTCTGCAATGTTGATTAATATTATCATTAAACAGGTGTATTGTCTGATGACACCTTGGATAACCGGATAGCTATTAAGGAAGCTTTGGTCACAGCGTACAAATCTCATGTCCAGAATAGGGTGAGGGATGAGGGACGAGAGGTTACCAGTCACTTCAAGCAAGAGGAGCCGGAGACAAATCAGTGGACGACATCATGGTGGGAACAATTCAAAGTGTTGCTCGAAAGAGGTATAAAGGAAAGGAGACATGAATCCTTCTCTGGCCTCAAGATTGCACAAGTTCTTGTGGTAGCTGTGGTATCAGGAATCCTCTGGTGGCAGTCTGGAGCTCATGTCCAGGATCAGGTCGGTTCTATTTTCAAATTGTCGACAAACATTCAGATATGCAGTGTAATGAGTTAATTTTTGTGCGTGTGTGTCTGTGTGTGATATTACTAATGTGTACAGTTTTCAATTAATGTGAACATATATTGAGTAAATTTCCAGAAATTTAAGTGACCTGAGGCTCTATTCATTTAACTTTCGTATCCCTCAGATTTGCTTTGGGGTGCCTGCTGACGTCTGACTGGTCTTGAGAAAAGACAGATTATATGCGTATCATACATCAGCATGCATCTCGAACCAAATCCAACGAATAAAAAAGTTGGTGAATAGAACCCTCATTCCACTTAAGTTTACATAAGTTTTTTGTTAATATATTCATAACGTCTCGTATTATTTGCAGGTAGGACTACTTTTCTTCATCTCAGGATTCTGGGGGTTCTTCCCAGTGTTTCAAGCAATATTCACCTTCCCACAAGAGCGAATGATGCTAACGAAAGAGAGGTCATCAAGAATGTACAGGCTTTCCTCCTACTTCATGTCTCGAGTAGTCGGGGACTTACCGATGGAACTAATCCTTCCCACAGGATTCATAACCATAGTCTACTGGATGAGTGGCCTAAAACCAACAGCAGCCAATTACTTTACCACCCTCTCGGTTTTGCTTCTGTCAGTCTTAGTAGCACAAGGTATTGGACTCGCAATTGGTGCTCTCATCATGAATCTGAAGTCCGCAGCCACACTGGGGTCTGTAATTATGCTCACATTTATGCTCGCTGGTGGATACTATGTTCAGAATGTGCCTGTCTTCATCTCTTGGATCAGATACGTCTCCATGAGCTTCTACTCATTTAAACTTCTTGTTGCCTCCCAGTACTCTGCCACCGATACTTACGGATGCAATCCAATGGCTACCTGCAAAGTCGCAGATATTCGTTCAGTAGACCTTGTGGGGTTTAGCCATCGTTCAGCAGCAATTATGGCCATGTTTGCTATGCTCTTCGCATATAGATTCATCGCTTACTTGGCCCTCATGAGGATTGGTGTCACCCGCTGAAGCATGCATGAGTTTTATGAAGCCTTTGTTCAAAAAATGGAAGGAATAACTACTACTGTCGTCAACTGATGAAAAAAGCGAGGGAAAAAACAAACCAAGCATAGATTGTTTTTTGAACGATTGTTACTCAGCTTACTGATAGGTGTTAACAATACAGAAACAAGAGTACTTGCATACATACACACAGCCTAGTCTAGAAAACATTTACTAAGAATAAAATGTTATGTCAGCAGATAAATGTTCGAGCAGAATTGTTGTGAGGGTCTCAGGTGGGAGTCGTACTGTAAACAGAAAATTTGGTAATGATACTAATTATAAAACAATACAAAATTTGGAACATCTCTGTCCAGTGCGAGTATGGTGTAATTCCTGCGACTCTTATTAATTTCATAGCCTACTATAGATATTTCAGTTCCACATGATAAGGCTAAGGTTTCTTAATAGAAGTAATTGTACTTCATCTTGCATTGGAATTTGATGAGGAAGAGTAAGTATATAGCAGCATCCACAAAGATGGAGAGATTACAAAGTTCATATATGTCACCATCTGAAGCACTTGATGTCATGTGTGGGGATGCTATTTTCTTATAAGTTAGATGTAAAAATTAAGGTTGACTTGCATAAGAGGATATGACAGGAATATGAGGTACCAAGGTGAAATAATATTCCCATAAAGATAACGTGAAGAGAAATGAAAAGTCAATATGATGAACAAGATTTATCTCCAACCATCTCGATCTCATCACCTCATCAACAGTTTGTCGTGAAAGATTTTCGCTTCTTTCTCGACGCTGATACCATGTACACAACCTCTGGCCTAACTCAGACAAGGTATATTCTGATCAGATCTCTACAATGAAGTGGAACGGCCAATGCTAAACTTGTCCTCGAACTGGTTGCTTCTGGTGTCGAACCTTCATCCCATAATGATGTTCTACACTCCGATGTCATTAATACATCTATCGAGCTCTTTAGTGCCTCTCCGTGGCTAACGCGGATATTGCTTACACCATTAATAGACTAGCCAGCATATATTACGCATCATCCTACAAGACAGATGCGGGATGCGAGCTGTTAAGCGGATCCTTCGAGCTAACGATTGATCAAGGTCTTTCCTCTTCCCCCACTCCAGTCTCAAGCAGGCCTATTTGGATCTGGATTGGTGCAGTAAACCTATTGATCCTCATCCTCTAAGCAGCTTAGGTATCTTCATAGGGATAAGTTTCGTCTCGAGAAGCTCAAAGAAGCAACATGCGTGCTCAAGCACAAAATCTGAAGTTCGATTCATCTCCACCATGCATCGATCAAATAATTGATAATATTTTCATCAGGGTTTGTCCACTACGAGGCTTAATTATCTCAAATTCAAATCCAAATCCAAGCCATTGGTGCACGACCACCCTGTCGTCTTGCATTGACAAAATTTCATGATCAGTAGCAATTAGTTCCTGAAATCCAACAATTGATCACTGATCGTATGTTCTCTTTCAAGATTATAGTGATGTGTTGCAATAGATTATGTTAGATTTTAACTGTGCATTACGATTCAAATTTAAATTAAAAAAAAAATCTTTCAACGCATGTTGTATATACAATTATATAAAGACATATATTCAAAAATACAGGAGAAGCTTCACGGTTTCTTTAATGAAGACACTAAAGTTTGAGTAGCATATTTAGCAGTAATGTGAGAAACCTTCCAACTCGAAATACAAAATCCATCTTGGTCGTTCGATTAGATTAGCTAGGTCTCATAAAATTTTACAAAAAAGAGAAACATAATCGTTCTACACCGAGGAACAGGAAAACTTCACGAACGAACGATGACTCGAAATACACGCATGCATGCCACATCCAATCGAATGCATAAAAGCAGAAATCAAACATGAGTAAATTAACAGGTACAGTGGAGACCGAAGCAAATGTATATCAACGCATTTATCTACCCCTCAGCAAAGCCTTTTCGGCCGTGTCAACCTCCTCAAGAATCCTCGCCTTACGCTTAGCCGGAATAGGCGCCGTCGGACCAAAGCTAATGTAATGACCCGACACAGCATTGAGCGCCGAGTACATGTCTCTGAACGAGGGCCGGCCGAGCAGCGCCTTCTCCCTCCTGTATTTCGCCACCCAGGAGTTTGATGCATCTCTCAGCTCCGCCACCGCCGTGGCCACATTCGGATCAGCCTTCTCCATGCCTATCGTAGTTCGCAGCTTTTGGATTACGTCGCTTGTGTCCTGCACGTACGTCTTCGCTGCCATGCGGCTGATGCCGGCAGCAGCACCGCCGCTGTCGATGTCAGAATGAGGAGACCACCAGCTGTCTACGGCTGGAGGCAGACGCAGAGCAGTAGAGCTAGGGACATCCGTCTGCGCAGCGCAGGCGACGACGGAAGGCTTCGCTGCTGTTGGTGGTGCCGAGGGTAGCTTGCTGCACCTGCAGCAAGGGGGTGATGTTACTAAGCATGATGATACCTGCATCTTCTTCTCCTTCTTCTTCTATCCTCTGCAGATGTTCTCTTCACTCTATCTAAACGGTGGATATATGGATTTTGATCAGCTTTGATCCTTTTTGGATCTGGGGTTTTTCCCCCACCTCCTTTTTTGTGAGACTAGTTGATGAAGTTTGGATTGGGAGGGAAGAAGAGGATCACTACTGGTGCCACGTGGGCTTATCACCTTATCCGGCCATCTTCATTTTCGGGACATATGAATGGATCGCATAAGTTTTAGATGTATGTGAATCTGATACATACGTAAACTACATTTAAAAGGAAATGGATATCTGGATCCTCAAGAGCTCTTAGTGGGCCTCGATTAATCCATTATCCGGCCCAAATCTCTCTATAATCCACGATTTCGACTTAATAGTAGTAGTGGTAACCAGACTATAATTTTTGAACTACTCTCAAATTACTACACCTAGAGTTACGGGGTCCTTGATGACCGATCAACTTTGAAAACAATCCAAATCCACACACTTTTGTGAGTAGTAGTGTAGGAGAAGTTTGAAAAGCATAGTTTAGTTGGAATTATCCTTCGGACTTTCCATTTCTAATGTAGGACAAAAAGCTATGTAAGGTTCGAAAAGTCAAAGTCTCCGAATGGGCCGAAATTTGCACAGCTCAAGGAAAGGGGGCCAATGATGCGGCATAATTATGTACCAAAATTACAAGTGCACAATTGATCAAGTTATAGTATAAAAAAATTATCGATCCCACGAGGAAGGTGATTTTAAGAGATTATTAGAATTGGTTCTTATGTTTTGTGCGTTTTAAGAGATTATTAGAATTGGTTCTTATGTTTTGTGCGTGACAATTAGAAATAAAGAATAAGTGTGATTATGGAGAGAATTGGTTCTTATGTTTTGTGCGTGACAATTAGAAATAAAGAATAAGTGTGATTATGGAGAGAGATGTGGTGAGTGATTGTTGTGAATATATGCAAGAGACAATAAATTGAATTTTAGAGAAAAAAGAATCAAAGAATAAATAAAATCACAAGGCAAGAGAGAAGAATGAATAAAATCAAGAAATAAAACCAAGAATGAAAAGAAAATTTAAGAAAGTTAAGATGGAGGATTCAAAAGAGGTAAGAAATCTAGAATGTAATCCACTAGCTAATTTTAATTACAAAATACAAACTATTCTCTTTTTATGACTATCAAACCAGTTAAGGAAAGTATAACCTATCAAATTATCATCTAAGTTAAAATTACTATTCATGATAAGAACAACAATAAGATAATAATCCTAGAATTCATAAGCATAACCTATCAAACCATTTAAGATAAGTATAGATTATCAAATTCTTCTTCTACCGATTAGTTCTTAGTTGATTATCCTAAGCATGAACATTTTAAGTGAAAGAGAATAATTCATACAATATAAAGAAAATTAGACTAGTTTTATGCAATTCTAAGATTCTTACAAGAATTAATTTCTCATCTTAAGAAATAAAAAAAACAAGAAGAAAAAGAACTAATTACAAAAATAAAAAGAAAAGAAAAATCTAAACAAGAAATAAATCTAACTTCTAACTACAAAGAATAAAAATCTAAACTAAAAAATAAATTGTAGAAATTAAATGCAAGAAAATAAATCTACTCTACAAATTAAAGTGCAGAAAGAAATAAAAAAGACAAGAAAATAAATCTACACTACAAGCATGAATTTAAATCTAACTAATAAGCAATAATAAAGAAATTACTAAAAAGAAATAAAAGAGAAAAGAAATACAAACCTTCAAATTGCTCTTCATCTCCATCCTCATCATTCAACAAAGAGGAGAAAGAACAAATTTAAAGAGGAAAAAATTATTTTTATTAATTGCAACTAAAGTTACAATTTTTGGAAGGCCTTCTCAATTAAGAGTAGCCCTCCTCTCCAAAAGGAGTTTACAAAATTTTCACACCTCTAACCCCTCACTCTCTACCCCTATTTATAGTAAACATCAGTGAATGAGAGCCATTGGATTCAAATCTTATCCAAAACCAACAAAAATCAGCCATTGGATTGTAACTGCCTGGACGTCCGTATCGATACCCGCATCGATAGGGGTATCGATGCGGGCATCGATACAGGCATCGATGCGGGCATCGATGCCTGCCTCTCTCCGGTTGCTGTCCGAACTTGTTTCTTCTTGTGGGCTTTGGGCTTGGACAAATCTTTGATTTCTTCATTTATTTGGTTTGGGCTTTGGCATTTTTTTGGCTTTACTTCTTCTTCTTAGCTTGGGCTTTTGGATAATTTGGAAATTGATTTTCCAATGGGCTTCTTTGCTTTATTTCTTCATTTAATCAACGGGTTTTTGTTGAGAGATTGGAGTTTGAGATTTATTCTTCATTAACCTGCAATTAAAAGATAAAAATAATTATTAGTGGTATATTTATTCATATAAAATAGATAATGAGGGTATAAAACTGTAATAAAATATGATTATCAAATACCCCCATACCTAAACTCTTGCTAATCCTCTAGCAAAGAAAATAAAAAGAAAATTTTAACTCACTTTCGCAGGAATCGTGGTTGTATTTAGCGCATACAACAAGCCTTTAAACCTCTAGGTTACCCTAGTGGACGAGTTGTAGTCTCGTGAGGGTTTGCAGTGAATATACCCACAAAATTCGGTCAACTTGCCAAGTTAAATAAGTCAGTAAATAACTAATTTTCCTTGATATATTTAGACATTCTAATTGAAGCTAGTTAATAATCAAGAAAACGTTTTTATATATAACTCCAATGTAAATCCCCTAGAAAATCTTTTTCATTATAGCAATACAAAACCAAGTCAAATCTTAGAGATTTAATTAAAAAGTTTTGAAAAGAACATGCTAACTCCTTGTTTTAAATAACTTTTAAGTTTCTTGATCAAAAATTATTTTTCAAGACCATATATACAAAACAATAATATATAGAAAAAAATGGTTAGTGTTATACGTATATAATATTTTTTTCTCACTCTTTAATTATTGGTGATTGTTTTCTATTTTAACGGGCTTTCTAAGTGACCATTTAACGAGTTTTGGACCAATGAATCCTAACCTAATTGGGCTTAGGTCATTAAGTATAGAAATACTCATTGGGCTTAATTACTCAGTCAACTTAGGTTTTATAAGATAGAATCACCTTGAATTTAAGAGTTTTTTTGTGCCTATTTTTCGCACTCTTCTTTTATAAGGTTATTTTTTTTAATATATATGTGTATAAGTATATATAGTCTGGAAAAAAAAATTGTGTAAATCAAGATATCTTGAAAAAAATATTTTCAACTCTAGGTTAAGCATGCAAAAATTTTATTATTTTTAATTAAAAATCTAAGGTAAGACTTAAGTAAAGTATACTAGTTGAAAAATTATTTCTTAAGAATTTTATTTGGAGTTATCATAAAAGGTGAACTTGAGTATGTCACTAACTAGGGATTAGAAAATTCAAAATCTATCAATTAGATCAATTATTACTTAACTCTATTAATTTGGCAAGTGACAATTAATTAATTTTTTTTAATTAACAAAAGATAAATGCTGAAAACTAAAATAAAATACTAACTAGCAAAATATAGACAAAAGCTAACTAGCTTACACCCCCATACCTAGACTTTGTAGTGTCCTCAAGGCAAATAATATCCAAAATATCACAGTTTAATAAGTACATGTCGAAATAAAAATCAAAGACAAGGTAAAATAAAAAGAACATCCCTCACTGCTCATCTCCTGATATATCTCCATCCACATCATCCGCGACAGCTGCTGAACTCGGTCCTGCCTCATCCTCTCCTGGGAAATCATATGGCTGAAATGATGTGATATAACTATGAAGCTCAAGTGGAGATCCATCTGTATCTCCATGTTCTCTCTGCCATCCTCTCGCCAAATATGCCAGGGTATCGGTGGAGTAGCTCATCTGACCATGTATCTCGTGTATATGCCGCTGCATCCTGTGCATCTGTATCTGCATCCTGTCCATGCGACTCCGCATTCTGTCCATCTCCTCTCGAATAGGATCCTGTGTAGCTGGCTGGTGCTGAGGAGGCTCTCTACCTGAAGGACCGGACTGATCTCATCCTGAAATGCTCCTCCTCACAGTCTGATCATTTAGTAACCCCTTCCCTGCTTCTAACCTATCCTCTGCGAATACTGGAACGTGAAATCTATGGCAGAGTCTAGTGATAAAATAGGGGTAAATGAGCTGAGTACGTGATGCAGACTGTGTCCTGACCCAATCCAACACATTCTCCACTGATGAGCGCATCCATACAAATATAATCCTCGCTATATCAAATCGCTGACCAGTGGCTATCCAAAAGAGAAGGAGAATATCGTGTGGGGTAATGACAGAGTATGCAGTGGTGGGTTTCAAATCAAAGTTCAGGAAAAGATTAAGTAATCTATATTCTGGTTTGAGATTTCCTGAACCGAAACTAGATGTAAAGATCCTCCCACACAAGGTTGCAGACATGTTGTTGTATTCTGGTGTACAAGGCTGTAAAGTGGATGCTAAATGGAAGTAATCTGGTACATCAGTGGGTGGTTCTGCAAGGTTAAGGGTAGCACGGATAGTGGAAAGATCGAAAATAACCCTAACACCCCTCACGATAGAAAAAGCTGAATATTCTCTATCTGGATCAATCTCCCATCCAGAATAGAACTCATGAACTAATGAAATGTTGGCTTTTTCTAGGGGTTTAGTCATCATGCTCCTAAGACCTACTGCAGTTAACATGGTGACTGTGAAATGATATGTATGCAGTACACTCATCTGAAATCCCCTCTCAAAATAAATGTTAAGACTCACAATTCTAGCTAAAATAGTGGGTCTATCTATGTCGGTATCAGATGGATCAGAGGATGATGAACTTGCTCGAGATTTCTTTCTGGGGGGCATCTACAGAAAAAGAAAAGAAAAAAAAAGGAAAAAAAAATTAATAATAAAATTCCAATATATATATCTATATATTTTTTATTTTTATATTTATTTATTTATTTATTTATTTATTTTATTTTTTATTTAGCTATAAATTATTCAACATGAATTAATTTCAAGTTATCAGAATTTCTTTTGACAATAAATTCCCTCAAAATTATTCTTTGAGAACATACATGTTAAAATTTTGTAACTTGATCGGTGAAACATACATGTTGATATGACAATTATAAGCTAAATCGTACAATTGTTGAATAAATAACTTGATCGGTGAAACATACATGTTGATATGACAATTATAA